GCTCACCTCTGCCACGCACTGCTGCTCATCATATTCCAGGAAGAACCACAGCACTAAGGTCTGGTGCATGTCCATCAGCAAGGGCCGTGTTCCCCCTTCCACCAGTGACTCCATCACCGTGCGGAATTTGCGAAAGGACGACAGCTGCCCGTGGGTGCAAAAGAGGAGAAAAAGATCTCAGCACTGCCTGCTCCAGGCACACCAGGCATAGGCCTGAAAATCCACAGGGCACAAAGTCTCCTGGCAGCACCCAGTGCCCGTGGCTGGGGGGCACAGAGCCTTACATTCTCAAAGAGAGGCCGGAGAGCCTCAGCCAGCTTCGGGGCAGTGGAGAGGATGGTCTGAATGTCTTCACCCCGGAGCTCGTTCACCAGCACAGAGAGGGTCATCACCATCACATCTGCATCTGCATCAGGCAGCAGCTCCAGGAGATGTTGAGACAGCCTGCAGATGCTTTCAGCCTGTGTGGAACACGGTGCTGTGCTGTCACGCCCCGAACAGCTGCCCTGCCAACAGCTCCCTGCTGGTGCAACCCCACCCTGCTGTCCCGGGGCCCAGAGGCCAAAGGCCTGTCCCACAGGGCCCCTGTAGCTGAACAGGGAGGCAGGAGAGCTGGGAGCAGCAGCCACAGCTCCCAAAGCCCAGCCAAGGCCAAGGGGTTGCATTCCCTCGCCCCAGCCTGCCCATGTGTCTTCAGCTGGGTGTGCCCTTCTCACCATTGACAGATCCATCCAGAGCACCATGCTGCCTCTGAGAGCCAGGCGACGTCTCTCTGGGCACTGGCTCTGCAGGTGCCTGGACAGGATCTGCTGGACACTGCCGTGACATTCTCTCCCATCCAGATAGTCCAGAATCTGGAAAGCAGAGAACAGTGATGGGTGCCCGGGTGGCAGGAGCCCAGAGCCACCCAGGGCTGTGCCCAGGCAGCAGCACAGGGCGCAGGCACCGTCCCGGCAGCGGCTGCCAGAGGGCAGAGAGGGGCAGGCAGGTGGGCCAGGCAGTGCTGGCCATCAGGCTCACCTTCACAAGGAACTCCAGGGCAGGCAGCTCCCAACGGGGGTCCACACTGCTGAGCATCCCAAGCAGGTGGATTGCCAGGGGAGAATGGGAGGGGGTCAACTGGCGGCGCATCTCCCTGTCAGGGGCAAAACCATGGACCCTGAGCAGGGTGGGCAAAGCTCTCCCAGCACTCACTCACACAGGCCTGGTCTTTCCCCAGCAGTCCAGAATGGGACGTGGGCACTTTGGCAGGTGGCTCCTTCTGTGCACCTGCCTCTCCCAGCCTTTTGCAATCTGCTCAGCCATCCCTTGGGGCCAAGGCCCTCTGGCCATCACCCACAGGGGCTGTATGGGGTGCCCCATGCCCAGGGCAGAGATGATGGGGGCAGTGGGGACAAGGGTGGCTCACCTGACATGCAGACCCACTGCAGAGTGGTGGGGGTCAGAATTCACCAGTGGGTTCCAGGCAAGCCTGCGCTTCCTTGCCATCAAAATATCCTCCCACTGCAGATGGCAGAACAGGTCCTTGA